TATATACATATATACATATTTACACAAAAATTTCCATTATTGTTCCTTAGTATTTCTTGAGATTTTCTGGGCTTAAGTATGCATTGTTATAGCATTCACAGTCTTTTCAATGAACTTTTACTGCCACTTCATAACTATATACATATAGCTATCCATATGCGTATATCCATATATATATTTTTTTCTTTTCCCAATGATTACGAAACATATTTTTGCTGAATATCCATCGCAGATCCATGTGCTTTTAATTTATATATGTATCCGTACATGTACATGTATATATGAAGCTATTCATGTATAACACACGCACACATTATGTAATCACTTTTTGAAGATAAAATCACATTCGAAAATCTTTAGATTGATCGATTTATATAGATGATGTCTATATCATATTATCTAGTTTAATTTCTAGCTTCAAATTTCATATTTGTCATATATTTTATGGTTTTTTTTTTTTTTTATGATATCTTTTTTGAGGTTAGAATTGTAATCCTTTGTTGTTTGGTGTTTTTCTTCAACTTACTTTCAACTTCACGCTTTGGAACATCAGCCTGTGTGTTTGAAGAGTAGAAAAAGAATTTTAGTTTGTATATTATTTCAATACATTTTTATTCACACAGGGTTTTCAAATTTTTTTAATTTTTTTTTTTTTCTTTTTCTTTCTATTTAAATTTTCTATTATTTTTCAATTGGTTGATTTCACTCACCATTTTGTCTATTGAATGCGAAAAGCAACTGTATCGCGGATGAGCTCGGTCTCGACTGAACGCTATTCGTCAGTGGCCGCACGGCAAGATAATGTGCTAAGGTGATGCTGACCAGCTCAMACACACACACACATACATGTAGATCTAGAAACATATGCAAAAGAATTTACTTTCATCTGGGCAACATTTTCCAATATACTCTCTCTCCCTCTCTATCTGTCAGTCAGTTCTCTCTCTCCCTCTCTGCATGTATGCTCTCTGCTACTTATTTCTATTTTTAAGATATATGTATCTATATATGTGAGACTTTTCCGATATCTGTGCCTGCAAAATAATAATCAGTTGTGGCATCGTGTTGAATATCATTTGATGTTAACGATAATATCTTAGGCCCATATTGTGTTTAGCCAGAGATAATATATGTATGTCGCATATATGTATATATGTATATAAATATATATATACTTATATAGTTTTTTTAGATATTTAGTATCTGTCGACCCTGATCGTCTGTTTGGCAAGCGAAAATCGCAATTTATTAAATTTTCTCTCTATCATTGAGCATGTTCTTTTGGCTCTATTGTAGTTTCTATATATACATGTTGCCTACATGCCTAAAAAACACCTGAATAGCTTTAAAAACATGTAATTTGTTTCAAATCTTTCTCGGCTGTCATCCATCTCGCTCGCACAATATCTCTAGCTCTCATCTACATAGAAGGCGTATTAGTGGGAGTCCCATCCAACTGTGTTTCTCTCTCTCTCTCTCTCTCTCTCGCACAGCGAAATATTTGTTTTTCTTTCGGTTCATTTTGTATGCGCGCTATTTATAAAAACTATGACACAGATACACCAAATTGTATTCAGAGCATTCATCTACAACGCATATCCGAACTATATTCCTATATACACACACGAGTATTTGTTTATATACATATCTATAAACATATGAATACATATATAATTTTAAGGAAGTTTGTATTTAATAGACTTGTATGCAGATTGAGCAATCAACCCAGGAATTTGGCATCTAATTGGCAGCGTTGTCCTTGGTGGTTGCTGCGCTGACCTCGTTTTGGGCTCAACAGCTGTTCAAGCCAAGGCTTTTGCTGCGCAGCCTCAGAGTGGGCAACAACCTGTTGCCGCATGTGGCATAGAGGCCGGGCTTTTATCATATGTACGTGTTGCTCTTCGGCAGCTTGTGCGGACGACGGGGCTTATCATAAATGATGCTCTGAGCCGAGCCAACATCTGTTCAGTGCTCGGATGCTCGGCTTATGAATATGGACCAATTGTGCGCAGTGGCAATTGCGCAGCTCATTGATAAAAATCTGTTGCAGATTGTTGCAGACGATAACGAATACACGAAGTCAAAGAGTTTTTAATCAATCTTAATCTCAAGGAAGCTCTGCAATTTGTGGCTAGCATCACATGAAAATTTCTCGTATGAACTAGCATATGATACTCAATATATATTTGATAATATATATTACACGATAGTATAGTATATATATTATTTGATAGATATTATAAACGAGTAATTCTATATTCTAGACCATCGTATAATGGGTTAATTCATTTCATCAGGTAATTGAACCTGATATGTATTCAGTGTGTCATAGTCTCTCCTAGAAAAATATATCTAGATAAGAGCGTAAAAGTTCTCATTTCATAGTTGCAGATATATAAGATTCTAGCATAGCGCATATAAACAAAGAAATATTTCTTTGACACATTCCATAATATATACTCAGCTGTTAGTTAAGATTATTGTTAGATCGAACTGTGATTAACTCATTTCCTTTACATTGCATAGCTTCCAGGATCTTCCTGAACAGAATTAATAGAAACACTTCGACTTCTAATTGCCTTTTTATTTCGTTTTATGTTTCAATTCAATATGACTGAAGACATTGTTTTACTATTTATAAATACAACGGTCGAATCATCATTTTTGTTGCTTTATTTTCATTTTTACCATTCCAGTGAATTCCGTCCACTGCCCTTACCGTAGCGTAATATTTGCCATTAAGGTTGCTAGAAATAAACGAATCATTTATTATGTGGCAATCCTGTAAAGGTATTGAGGAGTTACCTTGCACACTTAGTAGAACTGACATACCAATAGCCACCATAATAAAATTTAGAACAATTTTCAGGGCTATTTTCTCGGTCATAAGTCGAAAAATCATTTCCCAAATGAGGGAACAGTTAATCTACGACACCCTCAAATTTGCCAAGACTTTTAAGATTGTACTTTTCAGACTCGGAGCCTATAACGAAGTTATCGTATCGAGCCCAGTAAATCTCGTAGTCAACATCTGTCTGCACCAAGACTAACAGCTCGTGTCGCTGGTAGTTGGTTAGACGATGAATAACCTCCAGTCCGAGGAAGAACTCTCCGTTCCGATTCCCAAAGCCATCTCGATTTTCAGCCCAACTCCTATAAAAATTTTCCGAACCGTCGAATCGGTTCTGGATGACAAGCCAGCCGGGTCCTGTTACCTGAGAATCGCATAAAACGTTAAACGATATTACACTGCGAATATTAAGTGGTCATACATAATCTGGGATCGGTGGGGGTACATCTGGTTTCACGCAGTCTACTATTATAATCGGCCGCCATGGTTTATTATTTGCTATTGGCAGCTGATTAAACAGTGCTTTAATCAGCTGTCAATAGCAAATATAAAATTTTTCTTTAAGCCCATTGGAGACCAGCGACTGTAAATTCTCTACTCTGGCCTGAAGGCCCGACAGTTCACTCTGAAGCGTCCATTGAATTCCAGTTGGATTGGATTTTATTATCTGTTGACAAAGCTGGCCCTGCAGATCTGATCGATTCGTTAAGTGCCTGTATTTCTGGGTGCTTATCTTGTTTCTCCAGAATTACCTTGGTTTGCTGCAGCGCTTTCCAGCATATGCGAGAGACTCTAGACCGCCAATGGAATAATATAATTTTTGATAGGCTGAGTGTGAGCCTATCTTAGTTATATAGGCTCACACTCAGCCTACCTCGCACTGAGCCCTGATGGCTGTCAATGATGTTGCCAAAATGGTAAACATAAGCAAAATTTTCATTTTTCAATGCGCCTAGTGAAGCCTTCGTCTTTAAAGCTGAAATCGAACTGAAACAAAGCCCTTTTCCTATGCTATAAGATAACTCTAATGAAGTTAAATAGCAATGTCAAAGTCGAACTGGAACCGTATTGATTAGTTACAAAACTTCAGATTAGTTTTAGAAATTGTAAGCTTTTTATACCTTGATCCCATTGAAAATAGGAAATCAGAGTATAATGGTTTTGTTGATATGTATGTTACAGGCAGAAGGAGGCGTGACAGACCCCACAAAGTATATATATTCTTGAACAGGGCGACGAGCTGAGTCGATTTTTCCCTGTCCGTCTGTCCGTATGCTTGAACGCGTCGGTTTCAGAAGATAAAAGAGCTAGAGACTTCCAATTTTTTTAAATGTCCGTATACAAAGCGCGGATATCGAGTTTATCACAAAAAATCGATAACTCATCCTGTTTTTTTATCGGTAAGATCCTTATCGAAAACCATTTATAAAATTATATCTCCTACACCTTTAACGCTAGAGTCTCCAAATTTTAAATGTATACTTATATGCATTTTATACAATTTAGGGTTTTCTTAAAATTTACCATATATTTAAAAACCTCGAAAAGGTCAAATAGAAAACCTTTTTATTTCGATTTATGTTTCGATCCTATACAATTAAAATCTATATTTCAATATTTATGGACGCAATCGAATCATCATTCTTGTTGCCTTACTAGAGGCCTTTGAGATCCAGTACATGCCTTCATTAGAATCTACTTCAGTGTGGAAATATCTGCCATTAAGGTTACTGGAAATACACAAATTAATTAAAATATGGCAATGTTGAAAGGCTATTAATGATTTACCTTCCAAACGCATCCTCATGGAAATACCAATATCCGCCATGATGCATTGCAGATAATTTTTTAGGACTATTTTCTTTGTCGAAAGTCGAAAAATCTTTGCCCACATGTTGAGACAGCCTATCATGGGCACCTCTGTAACAGCCCACGCTTTTTAGCCTGTATCTTTCAGACTCTGAACCTATAACGAAGTTATCGTATAGAGCCCAGGAAATTTCATTTCCAAAGCCCTGCACATAGACAAACAACTCGTGTCTATGGTCCTTGGTCCGGCGATAGATATATTCCAGTCCTAGGAAGAATTCTCCCGCCTGACTCCCAAATCCATTTCGATAATCTGCCCAACTCCTATAAAAATTTTCAGAGCCTTTGTATCGATTTTGAACGATAATCCACCCGGGTTTTGCTGCCTAAGAGTCGTATAAAACGTTAGACGGACTTACCACAGGCAGAATAAGTGTTCTTACATAATCAAAAACGTTCATTGGAGTCGGACACCATGGTTTATTATTTGCTATTGACAGCTGATTAAAGCACTGTTGGTAATATTTTTCTTGAAGGCCATTGGAAAGCAGCGACTGTAAGTTCTCTACTCTGTCCTGAAGGTCCGACAGTTCGCTCTGAAGCGTCCATTGAATTTCAGTTTGATCATATTCTAATATCTGTTGACAAAGTTGCTCCTGCAGATTCTCGATCGATTCGTTAAGTGCCTGTATTTCTGGGTACCAATCCGATTGATCATCCCAGACCAATTGCAGTTGCTTATCTTGTTTCTCCAGCACTACCGTGATTTCTTGCAGCGCTTGACAGCAATTTTGTATATCCGAGAGCCTCTAGATTGCAAATGGAATATAATATATCATCTTATATTCGATGTAACTCAGATAGGCCCACACTCTACTTACCACGCACTGAACCTTGATGGCTGTGAACGATGATGCCAAAAGGGCAAAAAAGATCGGAAGCCGCATTTTACAATACAGTCGTTATCAAAGTTGAAAATGAACTGAAATTGAATAATTTGCTATGCATTAAATTAACTCTAAGCGAATTCGATTGAAATGTCAAAGTGGAACTGGAACCTATTGATTAGTACACGTCACGTGTACGTCAGAAGTAGAGGTGTGGAGATTCGTTGTAGATATACATATATTATTATAATAATTAAATTTGTCAAATTATATCCCTAATTACTTGGAGTATATTTTTCAAAGAAAATTATATCAAATTTACACAAATAATATTAAAATTGCTATGTTTACAGCCTGTGGTAAACTGTATACGATGGAAAGCTTCAGGAACTAAACTCAGTATCAAGGCATAACCTAATATATGTATTGGGATTTATGCATCTATGAAAAAAATTGTATGCAAACAGTTGAGAAAGCATGTGTATATATGTAGCATATAAACATTTAGCCTTATCAAACAAACTCGATCTGCGCGTGATATAAATGGACCTAAGAAACAAAATCGAATCTCTAGCTCCTATATCTTCAGAGATTGACGCGTTTAGGTAGAGTTTAAGACTCAGTTTAAATATTTTATGAGGTCTGCCACGCCTCCTTCTGCTTTCCCATTTTCAATGGATTCAGGGTATAAGAAATTTAAAACAATAATTATAAACTATCAACTACAGCTGAGAGCGTAAAAACGAATTTGTTAAGTTTTTGCTAAGTCTTGAAATTCAACAATTTTGTAGACTATATTATGGGCCAAAAAAACATTTTAAAAATTGATTACTTAAGTTCACTCTAAGCCTATGTACAATGTTGCATATGTGTTAATAAATATTTATTTATAAACAACAACATACACTGTTCGTAACAATTAATAAGAGAAAGGCTGATATCAATCCATTTAATGGCTATCTGTAGTTTTTTATGGCCAACACTTATGGCTGGCGTTTTGTTATTTAAGAAGACTTCACCCTTAAAACAACACCAACAACAACAATAGGCACAACAGTAACAATAACAATAGCCTTAATGATAAGCAGACAGAGACAAACAGAAAAACGCTGCTGACAGCCGCACATGCTGCGTATACGCAATTTTCAACCCTCACACAAGGAGACGGCGACTGGTTGTTATCTATAAATATAAGTGCGCCAAATAAAACAGGGTGAGGCAGACAGACAGAGTCGAAAACAGAGACAAAGCTGAAGCCGAAGCTGAAAGCACCCTGTACAGCTCTTTGTGTGTTGGATAGAGAGTGTTGGATAGAGTGTTGACAGAGAAAGTCAGAGGCTAGGGCTATAGAGCTTAGAGACATAAGTCTAAGCTGAAACTGAAACTAAGTCTACAAGGTAAGCACAGCGTATATATGCCTGAGAACATATATGTAACGAACAGCTTTAGCTGTTGCAGCTCAAGACCAAGCACCCTGTATGCCTCTGTTTTCCTTTTGTCAGGGGGTGGCTGTGCGTATACTTAATATGTGTGTCGGATTGTGTGTGCACAGGGGCAGGCGTGCGCTGCTCCTGTCGCTGGCAACGACGAGCAGCGAGAAGGACATGACGACGATGTGAATAGCTCGTCCTGTTAACGAGGCGACTCTTTGTCCCAGTTGCATCCGAACGCTACAGCCGTCAACTTTATCGAAAACGGGCAACGCGCAAACCAAGGTACAAAACTAAGAAAATCTCAGCAAAAGCCATGAAACTTTTGCCATAAAAAAATAAGAAGAAACTAAAGTTAATGCTTGCCGCAGTAGATTCAATTTGAGCAAAAGAAAGTCAAGTGAAATACATTTCACTGGCAATTGGCGCTAACTCGAGCCCAGCTCGAGTTGATTTTATCGCAGACAAACCCTTTGCTGGAACTATTTATACTTTGGGTGCGGTCGCAATTTGCTTGAATTGCTGGAAATTAAACGTTTGATTTGAGTGCGTGTCAAATGGTTTGACAATGGTCGAAGCGTAAAGAAATTTTTGTTATATAAGTGCGAAAACTGTGTGTGAAATTTTCGTTTGCACTGAAAAATGTATCTGCATGTATACCAAAATGAAATTTCAATTCTGTATCTATAACTGGGACGACGCGAAGCTGCGGAGTCTGCGTTCTGCGCAGCCTTCAAAGAGCACAGCTGGTGACTGGCGAGAAATGGGCTTGGGTGTGTGTGTGAGTGTGGGTGCTGCAGAAATCTGTTTTGGCACTGACCTAGACTCCGCCGGCTGACTCTTGTTGAGCCTGTGCACGCAAATACTTGTTGCATGCAAATGCCATGACATGCTTCCCAGACCTCCATCGAGCCCCCCAACCCCAAATTCATTTTGTATACCCTCAAAGCCGTTGAAGATGTGCAAATGGGTATATTGGGGGAAGAGGCGATTGAACACTTGGAGCATCAGCTACATTCCTGATGAATATTGACAGTCATTTCTGTTAAGGGTGTATTAGCCAAGAAGAAGAGGCTAGAAAAAGCTGAATACCGCTCAATGTCAGTATATTTAAATGGGGTATACTGGCGTGGGATTAAAGTGGAAAGAACTGAACACCGTATATATAAAGCATATATTTTTATTCTGATTGATCTTGATAAGCCAAATCCGATTGCGATATAATTTTATTTTATTTGTTTTTAATATCATCTTATAGCAACATTCATGACATTATGTATGAAATAGCATGTACTCGATTGCAATCATTATTAATATTTTTAGAAGACATTATTCGAACACTCGAATAGTCAGAGACATGAAAATAGATATGTATTTTATTTAGTTTATTGATCAATTATCATCTTCGATCAATGCCTCGATTCCAAGCCGTAGACTGGGTATTTTGCAGKCAGTCAGTCACTTAACGTCGACTTTCGCTTGAATGAGCTGACACTGGCTCAATAGTGGCATGCCATTAACTCGAGTCTGTCCTTGCAGCTGCCGGCCACACGATGGTGACCAATGCGACAAACAACAACAATCTGCAGGCGAACAACAATAGTTCGACGCCGAACAACAACAACGATGGCTTTGACATTGACCAGGACGATGGCCTGCAGGACCTCGGCCTGCCCGTCTCCGTCCAAACGTTCCTGTGGCGCCAAATAGCGCCCTTCATCAGGCCGCGACTGGGCAAGCTGCATGAGGCCAGCTGCATGGTAAGTGTGTGTCAAGCAAAAGGGAAAATCGAATGAAAAATATACGAACAAATTGAAATGAGAGCAAAAAAAAAAAGACATACAAACTAAAAACTTGGCTAAAAAAAAAAAAAAAAAATACCTTACCAAAGGTGCCTACTACTAAGCCTCTTCCTCAATGGAAACTAACAAAGTAATGAAATGGAAATAAGTCGAAATGAGCAGAAATTAACTTTGGCCTGGCCGGAGCTGATATACCCCTACAGTTGACTATGAAAATGATGAGAAAAACTAGTCTTATAGCCATCTTATAGAGATGTCCGATTTAGTTATGAATCAGGAAAATGTCTGGAAAGCCTTAAAAGCCCGTAAAAGTGTACAGCTTGTGCATGGCTCGTTCTCATACTAGCTGTTCAGGAGGTATGAGAATCACATGAGCTCGACAGGTGCAGAGCTGCCAAACTGTTAGTTTCCTTCTAAATCTTGCTTTATGTTTCATCTGCATCTATCTAGGCTATTTATTTTATCTTTGATTTTAGTTAATATTTATGTAATCGGCATATTTCTCTCACGAAGAAGACGAAAGCACTGTCTTTTAAATGGGTGATCTTTATAATTGTCCAGAGGATCCATACATCAAATCGATTTGCGAAAATTCAAACTTTTTCTAAGCTGTTGCTTGTTTTAGCTTTAGTAAAATTGAGCGTAGAAGAATACTATTGATCTACTTCGTTTAGCTTGACATTTCTTTAATTATTATACATATATGGAGTATGTGTCTCTTACTTCAATAAATAGCAAAACGAATACGGAACAAAACACATATACACTTTTTATACAGACATACAAAATTTCCCCAGCAAAAATTGAAAAAAAAATTTTTTTTTTTACATAGTGTATATAATATATTACATATTACATATGGATACAAGTTTCGTCCTAAGAATTTCATATGGAATCTGAGAAGTTCTGAAAGATATTCATATTTAACATAACATATTTAAATGTGAGAGAGAGATATATGAGATATGGGCAACATTTGAATAGCAAATGCAGGGGTATATATAATGAGTTAAATTGAACTAATGATTAATTGATTGACTGATTGATTGATTGATTATGATGGAATTGTGCTGTAAATTCGCTATGCGTGTTTTTCTTTTTTGTTTTGTTTTTTGTTTTTGTAAGGATGGACTCTATATAACTGTACCCATTGGCACAATCAATTGAACGTCTTTTACATACAAACATATCTATATATATATACATATTTCATTTATATAAATACATATATGTATATGTGTGTATGTATGTTATGATTTATACACAATTTTTAGTTTATTTTACTGATCAAAATTCGAAATCTTGAATATATGAATTTGATGTTTGACCTTTAATTTGTTTTTTTGTACACACTCTTGCATACGACTTTTACAATTTCTTTTCTACTAACACACGCTCTAACCACTAAACACCCAACACCCAACAACCACGACCACGACCACAACAATAATAACAACAACAACAATTATTATGCTTTTAACATACAACAAACTGTACAAATGAACATTGTAAAATCTCTCGCAACTTGTCTAAATCTGAATGTAGTTTTGTCAACACGCACCGGGACACCATGTAAGTTATAAATGTTATAAATGTACATAACAACTAATACTAACATATAAATCTATAACTAATTGCGATAATCTAACTCTTCTGAAAAATAACTTACTTTTATTCTATATATACTTTTCCTTTTCTGTTCGTTCTGCATGCTTTGAGCTCTGATTTGCATTGATTTGTATAGAAATCTTATTCTGCCTAATATCATATAATAAAGCTTGACAAATCGTTATATATATCTTTGTGCTTTATCTTTTTCCTCGATCCGACTACTTACGCATATGCATAATAGGAATCCAAAGAAGCTTGTAAGGTATGTCTATATATCTTTTGAATTAGTCCTTCACAACGACTCCTTCACGCTTCGCTCTTTCAGTCCTTCGAGAAGGTTCTCGTGCAGAACATTCAGTTCGGACTCTCGCCACCGTTGACCAAGGCGCTGAGCGCCATACCACGTTGGCGTCTGCTGCAGGGCGCCCTGCCGCATGTCATGCACGCCTGCGCGTCGCTGCTTTACTGTAAGTCCTTATGCTCTGCGCATGCAATTGGAAAAGTGTATATTAGCTAGGGACATACGACAATTGAAGATATCTGATTAGAGGCTACCATTGCGGGAGACTACGATCTGCAGATTATGATGTGCTGTCATACCCTGTACGAAAAATTAACGATGATATATTTTGATTTGACACATTTCTTGCCTGGCAGCATTGTGGTGTGACCCATTTCTTATTGCGTTTTACATTTCGATTCTATATGATTGATTACATTGGTTTATAGGTACAACGGTCGAATCATCATTTTGGTTGCTTTACTAAAACGATAATAATTCCAATAAAGGCCGTCCTCCTTATTTAGTCCCGGCAGGTAATATTTGCCATTAAGGTTGCTAGAAATAGACGAATCATTTAATACGTAGCAATCCTGTAAAGGTATTGAGGAGTTACCTTGCACACTTTGTAGAACTGACATACCAATAGCCACTATGATATCTTTTAGATAAATTTTGAGGGCTACTTTCTCGGTCATAAGTCGAAAAATCCTTGCCCACATGAGGGAACAGTTTATCTATGATAACCTCAAATTTGCCAAGACTTTTAAGTAAGTAATCGTATCGAGCCCAGAAAATATAGCCGTCAAACTTCTGCACCAAGACTAACAGCTCGTGTCGCTGGTAGTTGGTTAGACGATGAATAACCTCCAGTCCGAGGAAGAACTCTCCGGTCTGACTCCCAAAGCCATCTCGATATTCAGCCCAACTCCTATAAAAATCTTCCGAACCGTCGAATCGGTTCTGGATGACAAGCCAGCCGGGTCCTGTTACCTGAGAATCGCATAAAACGTTAAACGATATTACACCGCGAATAGTAATGTGCTTACATAATCTGTTATCTGTGAGGAAAGTAATTTGAAAGCCCAATTATACTGATTAAAGCACTGTTGTTAATATTTTTCTTGAAGCCCATTGGAGACCAGCGACTGTAAATTCTCTACTCTGGCCTGAAGGTCCGACAGTTCACTCTGAAGCGTCCATTGAATTCCAGTTATATAGGCTCACACTCAGCCTACCTCGCACTGAGCCCTGATGGCTGTCAATGATGTTGCCAAAATGGCAAACATTAGCAAAATTTTCATTTTTTAATGCGCCTAGAGAAGCCTTCGTCTTTAAAGCTGAAATCGAACAGAAACAAAGCACTTTTTCTATAACTCTAATGGAGTTAAATAGTAATGTGGTGGAACTGGAACCGTATTGATTAGTCACATAACTTGTAATGATAATTGAGGAATCCTCTATCTAATTAAAGACAAGGTCAGGCGGGGCTTTCTATTTTCTTCGCTCTGGCAATTATATTATATGACTTGGGGTAATTATATTTTCAGGTCACGTCCTTCGAGAGGGTTCTCGTGCAGAACATTCAGTTCGGACTCTCGTCACCGTTGGTTAAGGCAGCGATTTCTTCCATCTACAGAGTTCAGAATTTGGTCTAAACTCAACTATTATTGTCAAGACTTTTTTCTGAACTAATCGAACTGAGATTAACTCGGGGAACTGAGTCCATAACACAACTGCACAGAATAAACAATCATTCCAGTCGATTAATTAAAGCACTTCGACTTTTGCTTGCACTTTTTATTTCGATTTATATTTCGACTTTATATGATTGAAATATATATTTTAATATTGACCCACAGGTCGGATCAGCATTTTTGTTGCTCTATTAGACCTCATTTTGTACCAGTGCATGCTCGATATATCATCCACATCCGTTCGGAAATATTTGCCATTAAGGTTGCTGGAAATGAACGAATTAGATAAAATATGGCAACATTACAGGTCTATTGAGGAGTTACCTTCCTTTCAGTAAGCCCTTGTAATACCAATAGCCGCCATGATATTTTTGAGAGAAGCCTTTATGGCTATTTTCTCGGTCATAAGTCGAAAAATCCTTGCCCACATGTTTGGCGAGTCTTTCTTGCATACCTACATAGCTACCGACGTTTTTCAGCCTGTAGTTTTCAAACTCAGAGCCTATGTAAAAGTTATCGTATCGAGCCCAATAAATATCGTTATTAAAAGTCTGCACATAGATATACAGCTCGTGTCGTTGAAAACTGGTCAGCCGATAAATTTTCTCCAGTCCGAGGAAGAATTCCCCGCTCAGGCGCCCAAACCCATCTCGATATTCAGCCCAACTCCTATAAAAATCTTCGGAGCCGTCGTATCGGTTCTGGATGACCAGCCAGCCGGGTCCTGCTGTCTGAGAATCGCATAAAACGCTAAACGGATCCAAACCGGGCAGAGAAATTGTTGTTATGCCACTAAAGGGGCCTAAGTAAGCGCAGCTAGTGTGTGGTCTTTGCGGAGGATCTGTGGGTGGCGGAGGATCCGTGGGTGGCGGTGTCGACGGACAAGTTGGAGGTGGCCTTGGTAATTGCAGCTGATTAAAGCACTGTTGGTAAGAGTTTAGACCCATATTCGCTTCTTGAAGCATATTGGCAACAAATGACTTCAGGCTCAGTGTGCTGGATAGAAGGTCCGCCAGTTCATTTTTTAAAGTCCATTGGATCTCATTATAATTGGGTTGAACTACCACTTGGCACGATTGCTGCTGAAGAATCGCGATCGATGCGTTAAGTGCCAAAATTTCAGGATCTCTATCCGGTTGACTATTTAGGATCGATTGCAATTCGAAAACTCGTTTCTCCAGTTGTATCTTGATTTGCAGCAGAACTTCATAGCGTTGATTCAAATGCATGAGACTCTAGAGCGCCAATGGATTAATAGTATATTTGATGTAACTTAGGTAGACTCACACTCAACTCACCACGCACTGAGCCCTGATGGCTATCAATGATGTTGCCAAAATGGCAAAAATTAGCAAAATTTTCATTTTCCAATGCGCCTAAAGAAACATTCGTTTCTAAAGCTAAAAGTGAACTGAAACAAAGCCCTTTTCCTATGCTAAAAGCTAACTGTAATGGAGTTAGATAACAATGTCAAAGTGGAACTGGAACCGTATTGATTAGTCACAAACTTTTTCTGCTATAAGGAAGACAGGGAGAATTCATCTCGACTGTTGCTAATTGAGGAATCCTCTATCTTTTTAAAGACAAGGCCAGGCGGGGCTTTCTATTCTCGTCGCTCTGGCAATCATTTTATATGACCGGGGCAAATCATATTTTCAGGCCGCGTCAAGGACATGCAGGCGATTGGGCCCGTCGAGACGAAACTGTTGTACACAATGCAATGGATATTACTTTATGCCGCCGAGGAGTGCGCCGATGATGAGGGCGGCGACGAGCTGGGCTTAGGCGACGTTGCGGAGCCCAAGGCCAAGGCTATGGATCAGTATCTGTTTTCGGTGCCAACGATAACAGTGAGCGATCTCAACTTTATATCTAATCTAATATCTCACTTGACTAACGCCATTTACAGCTCTTTGTGTATCTGTTTGCGCCCATCATACACCACTTGAAGGAGTCGGACTTTCAAAACATTCGGTTAGAGAACGGCATCAAGCTGTGGCAGGGCATGTGGGACAATCGGGCCCCGGGTGCTCCCTGCTTCACAGCGCCTGTCAAGCCGAAGGCACGTAATTTGCTATGCGCACCCACGCCAAAGGGCTCGACCGACGTAATTCAGGGTCGCAAGCATTCGCTGGGACCCGACGCCATGTCGCCCAAGGCGGACTCGCCACAGAGCGGTCTCAGCGACTATGGCCAACAGGACGAAGAGGTAGAACTTAAAAGACACAAAGCACTCAATTATAGTTGTTAACTGATCTGGGTTTCACTTAGGGCTCCTGGGTGTCCTCGCCCAAGGAGTTCTTTCCCGAGACCATACCCGAAGAAGCGTCGAGCGTGGAGGACGAGCGCGTGGTCATCTTTCGATTGCCCTCTACGCCGCAGCTCATGGATAACTCGTTTTTTACGGTACGTAACTTTACAGATATACAGATACAGATTTCCTAAACTCTTTTATATCTAGGCGGATGCCAGCTTGCTGCAGCAGCAACAACAACAGCAACAGCAGCAGCAGCAGCAACAACAATCGCAGAGTCGTCGCGGCAGCCACCAATCGATGAACTCTAGGGACAAGGAGAAGCCCTCAACCAAGTTTGAGTTCGATCAGCAGGAACTGACCCGGGGTGCCTCCATGAAGGAGAAACGCAGTGCTTCCATAGAAAAAGAATCGGATACGGATAAATCGGAGAGCGGCAAGGTGGATGTGTCGGCAGCTACCTTCCTCGATGTGGCCGTACTGCGCTGTCTGTTCATCGCGCATTGGCAGGAGGAGGGCATCTTCTGGAGCTTGCAGTACCTGTACAACAGGTGAATTGTAGCCGCTCAGCTGGGTATCATATTGAAGCTAAATAAGCTTCCATTTGCAGACTCAGTGAAATTGGGGAAGAGGCATCCATTACATTGAATCAGCCGCGAAAACGCTCCAATTCACTGCCCATACCACAAATCGAGATCTCACTGTACCAGGGACCGGGCAGCAATAGTCGCGATAGTCCAGGCAGCTCTGTAGTCAAGGACTATATCGAAATACCAGAGCCAGCGGCCACAGTGACAGCCAGTGCAGTGGGTAAGTTATCCATCCAGCTGGCCAGCCCCATCCCAGCGTAGCCAAAATGCGCTAAGTCTAACCCAATATTTCAGAGGAAACAGCGAGCGTGCCCAGCAGCTCGGAGCGCCGGGGCAGTGAGAAGAAGAAGCGGGTCAAAATGGCCGATCTGCGGGCTTTTGTCGAAACGAAAATGTTCTCGAAATCGGAAAAGAACTTGGAAAAAGTAGGGCTCGATACAAACTCTGCCAATGGCAAGAATCCACTGCAGCATGCAGTAAGCCAACAGCTAAGAGCTATCTAACTTTATAGCAATACCCCCACAGTCTTGCAAGCTAGCACACCTGCTTAGATTTCTTGTTGATACCCACCCACTCGTTTCCAGAAGCTGTTTATTGTTTTCATTTGTTTGGTTCATTTTTCTGTTTTCTGTGCTGTTGCCAAAGTTAACGCTGTTAGCGGACTTACGTAGCCCAATCTATCACTAATCATTTGCTGCTTCTCTTCCGTCCAGGAGTACCATCGCAGCCTGGACACAGGCGAGAAGAAGCTGTCGCGATCGGCCTCCATGATCACTCGAGAGCCAGCCAGCAATCTCATTAAGGGCAAGTCCATGCCCAGCCTAAGGTAAGCCAATGGACCCAGACACACCTGTGACACATATAGAAACTCAATTAGGCCCGGACACACAACTCAACTAAATTAAACTCTATTGCTAACATCTCTTTATATAAACGATATCAAACTTACTATCTTTTATGAACTGAACAACCAGCTGTCTGCTTGATAGCGGGTGAGTTTTGGTCTAGCGCTTGGTTCTACTTTTTTACTAGCTAACTACTTTCACTACTGTGTCTATATCAATATACTATATCTATATACTGAATAAACTATACTATATACCCTAAGGCTAATGCCTTTTCACCTACAAGTTTGCCTGAACACCTAAAGCCTCCCTAAAAACTCTATAAACTTTCCTCTATTAGCCTGCTCAATCGGGGCTCATTGTGAATTTAACGTGAGGATTAGTTATTTACCATTCAGTTAGCTTCATATTGAGGTTAAGTGAGCTAAAATGGAATTAAAATGATGCCCGTTGCAGTGCTTGTTAAGTTTACCATGAGCTGCTTATCCCCAACTGCTTTTATGTACGCCTCCTCCTCCTCTTTTGCACGCCGTTTGTTTTAACTAATGCCACGCACCTGCGACTCTCGCATCTCCTCTACAATATGCCAGATTTTACAGATACGTAGAGCCGCCCAAGGCCTCTAGGCCGCCGCAGACGACCTGCCCACGGGGCACCGCCTTCTATCCACGCAATCCCATCATTACTGTGACAGAGCATACACCCACACCCTCGCCGGACTATATGAAGCGACAGGTGAGCCGAATGCTACCTACGAGTATATGATCTGTCGATTAATTGTCGATGCTTTGAGCAGGGCTCCATTGACTCGCAATTGGATGCTTTGAGCAACGGCGGCAGCATCGTCGGAGCTGGTGGCAATGGCAGCGCCGGTGGTGGCAGCGGCACCAATCGCTATCGCGGACCCATGCTGCGCTCCCACACCGATTCCCACATAGACTACACGGGCGTGGATGAGTCGGAGGCGCCTGGGTCCTCCTTCTACATCACACGCGACGGCGGCATCGACTATGAGATCGTGCTGCTGGCTGTGAGCAGCGTATTCAAGCGCGATCCATCCCAGGTCTGCTCCCTGCGCGTCCTCGAGGCAGGCCTCAACATCTGCGAGCTGCTCATCGAGATGGGCGTACTAAAGCTGGGCGAGCATCCGCACGAGATATCGATGGGCATAACTCGACGTGCGCTCCAAGTGCTCGGCTGCCCACATGGCTGCAACGATGGTGAGTGGCTAGGCTACAGTGGAGTTACTCGGGGCATTCGGTCCTCAAACTCAACTCATCTCATCCACCTTTGCAGGCGTTCGAGGACCACCCGCTGACTTCCTGCGCAATCAGTGCCAAAAGATCATCTCGCGCATGCTGCGCCAGGCCGGGCAGCGCACCAAGCGTCATCTACAGGAGATGGTAAAGACATCGCCGCTGCCGGAGCTCATAGACTACTTTCATGCGTTTCTCGCCTTCTGCGTGGATCCCAGCTCCCTGCTCTCGCCGCTGAGTAAGTCGGGGTGACCCCCCATCCAGCAGTGCCTAGTTACTATTCCATTGATTGATGTTGCACCAAATTTCCAATTGCAAAATTGTCCATGATACTCTTTACTCTTCATACTCGTTCATGTAGTGGCATATAGGACATATTGGTCCATACATGTCTGTATACAGATTGTCATTGCAGTTGCCTATTTGTCCAATGTGTGGCCTCAACTGAAGCGAGAGCTCACATTATATATGCACATGATCATACTAGGTTTGGTATACTATTATAAGTATACAAGTATCAATGTTTTACAGGGTATATAAGTATGTATGCAGTTGGGTATTTGTAGTTTTAGTGTGAATTTTTTTTTGCTTTTTTTTTTTTCATTAACAGCATTGAGCTGAGTTAAATATATTTTCAACTTCAACTTACTTAATTATATATAATCTGTATATATGTATATGCTCAACTCCAGTTCCGATTCCAATTCAATCGCGAATTTCTCTATTTGTGGGCGAGTATTGTGCAGTCGGTTGCCTCCGACTACTTTACGTATTTATATCGTACTATTATTATTTGTGGAGCTCTGTCTCTATCTCTTTTTCTCTCTCACACAATCTCTAACTATGTATCTAAATATATTTCACTGTGTGTGTGTGTGTGTGTTCGATGTTGCATGCAACGAGTTTTGCTAATGCTTTTGAGTTGTAACACCTCCCTCCCGCCCCCGTTTGTTGCCTCTGACCTCCTCCAAAATACTCGTACGTTGTATATATATGTATGTATGTATGTATATATAATGATGATGCATATAGCTCATAAACGTCAGAGTGGATATAAAAATGCTAACACCGATCTTGGCGGTGTACCAGGTCAGGGCGGCTATTCCAGCAATTTTAGCGGCGGCATCAGCGGCGGAGCCGAGGGTCAAGTGGTTGGCGCCATATTCAAGCAGCTGGTCAGCCGATTCGTGGAGGCCAGCAAGGATCTGAAGCTGCCCGAGAATGTGGCGCTCTATGGTGACATACGACAGCTGGTGACCTATGTGAAGGGCGCCCATGGCGGGCCCTTTCGTCTGGTTGCACTCAGCGGCATATTGGCGGTGACGCCGCGACCCCACAAGAAGGGGCCGACGCCGCAGACGACGAGGGTGATCAGGTGAGCCCAATAAAATAATTCGAATATTCAATCACAAGTTGGGCAATCGAAAACCTAATCAACTCACCCACTGGCAGGCATATACCCCAG